CAACTCTTCTTCTGAATGGGATCCCATACTTCATTAGCCCCCACGTCGTTGCAAACATCTCCCTCCAATCAGATGTTCCCGCAGATATCGAAGGGGTCTTGGATTTCGTTCCGGTCGTCGTCTTGCCTACGGCGCACGATAATCTTTCCGACATCTTCACTGCTTGGACTAAAGCCGACGACGTGTTTCAATCTGGGTTTACGCAGCTTCTCCTCGATGGAACAAATAACTCGAAGACCTCGATAGCTAAAGCCATCCATACTACAAGCGAAACACCCTCGACAGTTGTCAGCTTCACGTCGAGTTCCAATGTGCCGAAGGGGCCGTACTTCCTGCGCAAAGCCACCGGAGACCTACATCAAGCATACCGACTGTATGACGATACCGCCGGTGCGTTCACCGAAGCCTTACTGGGCAACAACGATGGCACTTTCCAAGTCTTGCCAGCCAAGATCCCCGGTTCAGCTACCTTCACCATCGGCGTGCCTTCGCGCTTGTATTACGAGCCTTCCGATTCCAAACCATTGGCTGGTGTCCGCATTGCCGTGAAGGACATCTTCTCGCTGGCTGGGGTCAAACAGTCAAACGGGAACCGCGCATGGTATCATTTATACCCGGCCAACAACGTCACTGGAACAGCCATCTCAAGGCTTATCGACGCCGGTGCTATCATTGTGGGCACACAAAAGCTGTCCCAGTTTGCAACGAGCGAGGTTGCTACCGTCGACTGGGTTGACTACCATTCTCCCTTCAACCCTAGGGGAGATGGCTATCAAGACCCGTCCTCTTCGAGCTCCGGCGCAGGCGCTTCTGTCGGTTCCTATAGCTGGCTTGATGCCGCCGTCGGAACTGATACGGGTGGCAGCATTCGCAGTCCCGCAGGAGTGAACGGCGTCTTTGGCAACAGGGCATCGCACGGTGCCGTGAGCTCCGATCATATCATGCCGCTGTCAGAGCCTCTGGATACCGTCGGCTTCCTTGTTCGGGACCCAAAGCTGTGGGACAAACTCCAGGCTGTAACATATGGCTCCAACTACACTTCACTGGCAACATTGCAGCCCAAGTATCCGACCAAGATCATGACTGTGTCATACCCGAATTCCAGCACCGAAGCAGGCGTTCTGCTGAACAACTTCGCGGCCGCTCTGGCCAAGTTTGTGGGTGGCAACGTGAGCACCCTGAATGTGGCCCAGCAATGGGGCATGCGCGAAACGAACCCTAACGCCGATCTCAACTTCACCGAGACTTTCAACATTACCTACCCAGTGCTTACTGGGAAGGGCCAGGACGATGCGGTGGTCCAGCCGTTCTACGCAGATTATGCGAAGCAATTCGACGGACGTCGGCCTTTTATCAACCCTTCCCCGCTGGCCCGATGGGCCTGGGCTGCCAACTACTCCTGGGATGAGGCCTTGCAGAACAAGACAATGTTCATGGACTGGTTCAATGATCAGATCCTGCCTCCAGTCAATGACAGCCTGCAATGCTCGTCCGGCTTTATTTTGTATGCCGGTAAGACGGGAACGCAGTCTCCGAGGAATCGGTACGACATAGCCCTCCCGGCGCCTTTTACTGGGTTCTCTGCCGCCCGAATGTCTGTCTTCTCGGGATGCCCGGACTTGGTTTATCCGGTGGGCGAGGTCGCTAGCTTCAGCACTTTGACCAACCACGATGAGAAGCTGCCGGTGGCTGTGGGAATACTGGCAGCGAAGGGCTGCGATGGACTTTTGAGCCGGCTGGCAATAGATTTGGTGAATGAAGGCATCTTGAAAGTGCCGGAGGCTGGCGGTACTCTTAGTGGTGGTCCAATTTTTGTGTAGAAAAAACTGAACATTTGTTTCATCTTCCCAAACATGATCCGTACAGCGCTTCGTTATCAAAAGCACGTTCTAGCAAATTCAGGACTTGAAAATGAGTGAGTCTGTCACGTCGATCATTCCAGCGTGTCACTTGCTGCAAGATTTATGGGTTGAATCATAATCTCATTACCTCTGCAGAATTAGAAGCTTGTTGGTGGCTATCTAGGTCACCCTAAAACTTCATCGCTGAGTTTCCCCTTGTGATGTTCCTCCAAAACACAACTTTTCATCCGCGACTTCTTGAATCTTCCCATCTTGACGCACACATGTGTTCTACTGCATGTTGATCCATCGTCCCATCCACTGCTCGTTCAGCTGCTTGGCCTCATCGACCAAACCAATCTCAAGCAAGAGTTGAACAGCACCACGAACGGCGGAGTAAAGTGAAGAGCTGATCCATGCGTGCGTGGGCGCCGTGTGCTCGCCGAGAACGATAACGTTCGACTCCGTCTGGTGGTACGACGGGATGTACAATGCGTGCTGAGCCACATCCGGGCGCGTCCAGGCCGTGGCGATGAAAGGCTCATCCAGCCAGCACAGCCGCTCGTAGGTTCCAGTGTACAGGTCTCGGATGTGCTCGCCATGGAGGGAAGCAATTGCGTCGAGGACCATGCCCACGTGCTGCTCCTCGCTGAGGCTGGCGAAGCGGCTGCTCCAATCACCTCCGCGGTAGTGCAGAATGAGACCTGGACGCCCTGACTCGTTGTGGCCATAGACTGGGTAGTAGAGAGCGCCAACAGCTGCATCTGGAGGCGTCGAGTAACCGCCAAAGATAGGGCGGTCACCCTTCTCCCAGAAGCGTTCGCTGAAGAGCAGGCCAACTTTGCAGGCGTCCTTGAAGCGAAGACCGCGTTCAGCCATGGCTCGCGAGAGGGTGGGCGAGAAGGATGGCAGGCGCATCATTCGAGTCATGGTGAAAGGAACTGCGAGCATGGTGTAATCGTAGGTCTTGCTCTGCTCAGCCGTCGGCTTCGTCTGAGTTCTGTTGGCATCAACGTCAACCCAAGAGATCTTCGTGCCGGTGACCACGTTCTGATTATCTTTGACAGCCTCAATCGCCCGGACCTGGCGGTTCAGAACGAGACGATCTTGAACGTGTGGCAGGATTGCGTCCGAGAAGCGGCTGAAGCCGCCATCGACGCAGCGCCATTCCGTCTCACCCAAGGTGCCCTTGCTGCCATCCTGCGCCAGGTTCGAGTTGTGATGCATCTCGTCCCAGAAAACGTCGTAATCAGTGGCGCCGTGAATAGCATCCACCACCTCAGCACTCGCGTTCCAAACGTTGCGCATCATGCTCTGCTGACTGACGTCGTCGAGCCCGCTCTTCATAGTGCGGCCATGTACTCTCCATACGTCCTTCTGGATCTCTCTGACTGTATCTTCGTTGAGGAGAATGCTGCTCATCTTCGCCTTGATGTCCTTGTACTCCTGTGTATCCATCGGTGCCGGCTTGCCAAGGCTGGAGTTCGCGGCAATCTCGGCGCGCGTGGGGATGCTTCCGTCGGGATGTCTCCCGGTGCCAAGTGCCAGCAACTCATTAGGCGAGTGCTGGATCCAGGGGATGAAACTGATGTTCAGGTCAGGTTGGCTGCCTTGGTTCATCTCATTGAGCCAGTCTGCCAACTGAAACGTCATGGCATGGTCGGAGTACTCAAGCGTCGCATTGTCGCTCTTGTACTTGATCTTGTAGGGAAGACGCATAGGGCCCATTTCCGCCCATTCTTGGGTGCCCCCGACATAAATAGTCCGCAGACGTCCACCGATCTGGTGACTAGCCTCGAGGATCTCCCAGTTGTGCACGCCAACGCTATCAAGCATGAGAGCCGTGGCTAAGCCAGTGATGCCTGCGCCAACGATGGCAATGGTGGTGTTCTTGGCTTGTTCGACATCTTGAGGTCCCGTGGCATTGATGGCGGCTACTTCTTCGAACCAGGCGCCGAGGGCGTCAAAGTCCTTCAGTAGTGGCCGTTGAGAGTCGGCTGCTGCAAATGTAGAGCCGGAATACAGGGCAGCCAGCAGGATTGCGCCCGTGTGAGGTTTCATCTTTGGGAAATGAATGGACCGATGGATCGTGAGTTGCGATGTTTCCGCGAGGACAGCTGCCTTCGCCACGGGGACCTCAAGACTTGGAGGAAAGACGATGATGAAGCTTTCCATCCGCAATCGGAGCCCAATTGCTTATATCTCCATAATGATGTCGTGGAAATGGATCCATCTACAGACTTTTTGCTCGCGCTATTGATACAACTACCGAATTGACGACATTGGCCATAAAGGTTTCGCTTTGCAGCTGCATCCCGAGCTCGAAATTACCTCCGAATCCGAGTCGGACATTCAATGTGACTGAGTGATTAAAGTGATCGCGCACGCTAGTCGTTGAGTTCCATGAGGTGATTATTGAAGACAACCTTGATGCCACGATCTTGCCGCGGATCTGCAGTACTGGTGAGTACTTGGAGACTAGGTACTCGCGTTGGCCCACTCTGATGTTCAAATGACTGGGGCTGCGTTGCATTGCATGTTCTACGCAGGGAATGCCTTCGCATTCGGTCGCATTATGTAAACGACTCGGGTAGTCGGACAGGGCAGTTCGGCGATACCACACGGCGTGTGTTTAAACCACCACACCATACACCGTGGGGACAAGCTTGTGGTCCGCGGAGTGCATTAGGCCCATGGAGCACATGGCGGCTAAAAAGCTTATCAATCTAATCATAAATTAACAAGAGTCTTGTGTCAGCAGGTTTAGCACAGTGATGGTTTCCGAGCATTTTTGTCACGAATCAAGGCCGTGGTGTTGCCGCAGCATCAGCGTCGATCTTACTGGTAAGTGATGTGGCAGCCGGTGGGATATGGCTTCATGTTCAGCTGAGGTATCAGAGACTAAACGTACTCTTTCAGCCTGCCCCTCCACCAACACACGTGGACGCAACTTACTTCGGCAATATTGTAGATTTTCAAGTCAAGCCCATTCTAGCGCTACTAATGAGCTTTGGTACAAATTTGCCCTGCTGAGTCGAAAAATCAACACAACTCCGCCCTACCCCAAAAGTCTTCACCAGCCTCCTATCGCCGAAGCCCTCCTTCCGACAATCCTGGCCATTGTTGAAAATGTAGCCCAACGTTGTTCAACCTTGCCGATCACGGAGACTTCTCTGCGGCGTCAGCGTTTTCTTTCAGTTGCGCCTGATGACCCTCCTCTTTCAACTTGTGATCGTCGGTGCGGGACAAGTCAATGTGCGGCATCAAGAACCATGCTACGATGAACGCTGCTGCTGCTAAGCCAGAACCAAGCTCAAAGATGACCTTGAAAGACTTCTGGTATGCGGGCGCGAGAACGGCTCTGATACGTTGCGCATCTTCATCAGAAAGTGACGATATGTACTGCTGTGGGTTACTGAGAAGGGAATCGCGTTGTTCCACACCCAGATCCAGACCATTGACCGAGCTCTTGACGATGTTGTTCCTTGGAATTGTCAGTACATGGTGTCATCAAACGGGCTGTGTACGCCTCTAGGAAGGTGACCAACAAAATTGTGCCGCAAATGGCAAGCCCAAATGTAGCCCCCAAGTTCCTCACAAAGCTGTCCCACCGGTGTCAATATCACCAGTACGTCTTCATCTCTGGGCCGAGGGATGACATACTTGCGGAATGATGTGACAACGGCCATGTCCTTTCTTGGAACACCTGCTTGGATGGCGACCAGAGCCCTGTCGAGGACCGCATCAGTAAACAACATAGTGATCGGTCAAAGCACTGATGCTTACGGCTGAAGAGTATTTCCCACACCCACACCAATGAGCAGGGAATAGCCGATCTGCTTTCCTAGACCAGAGGTCTCGTCGAGGGTGGACATGAGGCCTAGACCGACCGACCAGCAGAGCCACCCGAATAAGATGCACTCGCGGTAACGTCCCACCCAGTGGACTATGAGTCCGGAGAGGGTACTACTCGCAGTCTGCACGAGGGTGATGGGAAGCAGCATGACACCGGATCTAGTCGCCCCATAGTTGTAGACAAACTGGTAGAAGGTGGGAATGTAGTAGACCTGAACGACGAAGTTCCACCCGTTAATAGCCATGGTGATGCATGCTCCGATGGTCATGCGAGCTCGAAAGATGTCCACTGTGCAAGACGCAAGGGATAAAGATTAGTCCCATATTCGTGGTCAGGGGCAACATGGGATCTTACGAGGTACGAGCGGGTATCTCGGCCCCTTCCACTGCCACAAGACAAAGACGACGCAGATGAAGAAACCCACGAGGAGGGTAGTAAGGACGGCTGCAGAAGCCCAGGGATACTCGCCGCCACCCCAAGTCAAACCGAGCATTAAGCTAGTGGTGCCTGCCAATGCAAGCAAGATGCCTACGAAGTCGATGGCTCGTGTCTTCCTACATTGGGATGCCGGTGGTCAGCTTGAGTGCGACTTCATGAGTGACTTCAACCGAGCGGAGCTCCGCTCAGGTTTCGTTCAACGTCAGCCACTAACAGAAGACGACTTACAATTTCCAGTCCCCAGTGACCTTCCTGAGTGGCATGAAAAACAGGGCGCATACTGCAGACAGTGCCGTCAGGGGCAGATTGAGGCGAAAGATCCAGCGCCATGAGTCGCCCCCTTTGGAGGATAGGGTGCCGCCGATGACGGGACCTATTCCGTTGGCTAGTGCAGTGACGGCGCCCTGAAGGAACTGAGGTGTTAGTAGGAGGGTCGCCTGTGCAGGGGAGGGGTGTGTGTATGTTCATCTGTTAGGAAGAAAAGATATCTGATCAAATCTGATGCCGTGGCGGGGAAGGGAGTCTGGGGTGGAAGTGGAATCGTGACCGGAGGAACTTGCCAGAATACCCTGGTATTTCCCTCTCTCGCGCAAAGGGACCACATCGCTGACGATCATCTGGGCAACTGTCATGAGTCCGCCACCGCCCAGGCCCGTAAAACAACGGAAAATGATGAGTTGGGTAGCCGTCTGCGCCAGAGAGGATGCCAGCGATCCGAGGCCGAAGATGGCCAGTCCGACCATTAGGATCACCTTACGCGACCATATGTCCGAGAGGCGGCCGTACAAGAGCTGCCCAACTGTGGATGTGCTATGCGGATGCATCAATCAGCGAGAGCCATCATAAAGCGACCAAAACGTACATGAAGTAACCATTAGCAAGCCAGGATAGCTGTTGTCCTGCATGAAGGTAATTGCCAACAATAGACAAGCTAGCTGCCAGGGTGGTCTGGTCCATGAGCGCTACCAGGTCCACGCTGGCGCATGCCAGGAAAATCTTTTCTTGTGAGTATTCGTCGCGAGAGCAAACAGGGGGATAAAGTCGAATCCTCTGAGGCGGGGCAACCTACCGTGATGACCTTGACCTTCGACACGTAATTTGTCTGCTCGTTGAACGTGTGCGCCTCTGGGTTTTTGTCGGTGGACGTTGGCGATTCCATCACAGTCTCCGGCGTCTGGGAGCTCTCGAGGGTGTTGGTAATGATGCCCCCAGCCTCCCGAGGGCTGCTGTCAGCTGGATCAGGTTTCTCGTTCATTGCTAGAGAGGAAAGTCGGTACGATGTGCAAATTAGGGTTTTCAACAAAGATGCGGTAGAAGCTGGAGTCTATTCTTTCGCTCACTACCTAGATGCTGCCTTTACACGATATCTGGGACCAAATTATACCCCGGGGAACTTCAAGGGACGAACGTGAAGTTCTGTAGACAGCTTGAAATGACGTGGCAGATCATTGAGAAGGTCTTGGTGGACCTTTGGTAGACTAGCAGTGTAGAACTTCGCCGTAGCATGCGCAGCGTCACGGTAATTATTAGTGGAACGTCAAAATGTTTGCTAATGATGTTGCGCTGAGCTTGCCGTGTTTTCCTTTTTTGAGTTTAATGAAGAGCTTTACCGCTATTCATCGATTTTGCTGTCATGGTCGGACCTTGTTGCACGCAGCATGTGTCGTGAGAGTGGGGGTGCCTGCTACGACTCTGCCTTCATCGTCAGGGACGCCGCTCAACGGCGCGTGTTCATGATGGTCTTTGCCTTATAATTTCACACCCTGAGATTTTATTAGGTCGATGGGACGGGCCTTCTGTGGCTATGCAGATCATCATGCAGAACAAGCAATAGCAGGTCGCACTCGGAGAAGAGAGGATCCCTTCGGTGTTATCGGACATGCCCGCTACAGCGTTCATAGGTCACAGGGGGCGGCGGAATGTCAATTCGGGACTGGGGTATGCAGTTCAGGACCCATTCGATCACAACCCTTTCGTGTATGGAAAGCTTCATCATGAACTTCCCACAGGTGACAGTTTCTTAGTTGAGTCATGTTTGGTCCATTGAGCCATTTGTTTTGTGTGACCGGTTTCTGTCGGCGAGAATCACTCGCAGCTTTTCATACCCCTGCCACGCGCGATTGACAAGTGTAGAGTGTGGTGAAGACGTGATGTAATTCCATTGGGCATGTAAGCGGACGTATACTTCAGACGTATCGTACGTAGTTATGTTTAATTGTTTGTGGTCTAGCTGAGAACATGCAATAATATCAGGGGCAGTCGCTTCACTTTGAAGGTCTGAGATCGGTTGTCCTGAGTGCAACGTCCTTCCAAGGGAGCAAAAGATTATTGTCTATCATTTCTGCAGCTGAATGCTTCCGAACTCTACATTCCTCGACATAATCCCCCAACAACACATTTCTTTCTTATTGTCACAACTTCGAGATGCCGGCACGAAACAACCTGAACGTTTATAAGGGCCCTGACTCTGTCAAGGATTACTTCAATCCTGACAAGGCACCACCATTGCCGCTTGTGGAGCTTCCCGACGCCCTCAATCCATACCGACAAGATGGCATCCGTATCTACGCCAAGATGATGACTATGCACCCTGCAAACAATGTCAAAGCTATGCCAGGTAATTATGTCGGAATGATATTATGGGGAATTCGAATTGCTAATGTCTGGTTCAACAACAGCCCTCAATCTTCTTGAGCATGGGGTTGCTCCCGACAAGACCAAAACCGTAGTTGAATACAGCTCTGGTTCAACTGTCATTTCCATGGCTTTGATGTCCCGCGTGCTCTACGACTTAGGAGATGTGCACGCCTTCCTGAGCAATAAGACGACATCGGCAAAGTTGAAACTGATGCAATTCTTCGGTCTTAAACTGTAAGTGGGGCCGTTCTCGAGTTTGATTGAAAGGTTCCCGGTGAGACATAACTTTGCTCACTATGGCCTTGTAACAGTACTTTATTCGGCGGTCCTTCCCAACCCGAACCGAACGACGAGCGTGGCGGAATTCGAGCGGCATACCGCTGGGCACAGGAATCTGAGTCTGTTGTCAACCCCGACCAATACAACAACGATCTGGTGAGGCATCTTATCAAGCGTTATGTGCGTGTCACAGCTACTGATCGAGCCAACAAGAACTGGAAATCTCATATGCGATGGACAGGCCCGCAGATTCTGGAACAACTGCCCGAAATTAGCCTGATTTGCGCAGGAATGGGAACTTCTGGTACGTCTTGTCTCCAAAGATTTTCAGCTTCTTTTGAAGATTGGGGCTTTAACACTCTTTTGCACAGGTACCATGTCAGGATTAGGCACCTTTTTCAAGGAGAACAGCCCGTCTGTTTTCCGCTTGGGGTAAGAAATTCAACGGATCAGCTTCGCAGTGATTTCTAACAGCACCCGCAGCGTGTGTACTGCTGCAGGCGACAGAGTTCCAGGGCCACGGTCCCTGGCTCTCCTGGCTCCTGTCAATTTCCCCTGGAAGTCAGCTGTCGACCACATTGAGGAGGTCGCATCCCACCCCTCATTCTCGCTTTCTTTGGAGCTGTGCCGCAACGGCATTGTTTGCGGTCCCTCGTCCGGATTCAACCTCCAAGGGCTTTTCCAGCTCATCGAGAAAAGAAAGCAGAATGGGACATTGAATGAGCTTGCAGGACAAGACGGTCAAATTCACTGCGTCTTTTTGTGTTGCGATCTCCCGTACCAATACATGGACGAATATTTCGACAAACTAGACTCCGAGCAGTTCCCTCCGATCAGAAACTCAGTAAGTCGTTGGTGTTCATTTTCCATGTGGTACGGTGCATCTCGCTAATTACCGGGCGCCTAGGAATTGAGTGGTGTTGATCTCTACCGATACGACTCGGCCTGGGAAAAGGACCCTCTGGTGGCCCTCAATGACTTTTACCACCTGGATAAGATCCTGACGAGAGATCTTCTTTTCTTCGTGTCCAAGAGACGGTCAGATGAACGACAAGGCTGGGAGAAGATTGTAGCCCCATCACCAGACACCATTGTGGTTGACTTGCGTCAACCCGAGGACTTCGACCAGTTCAGTCTCCCGGGGTCTGTCAACTTCCCGCTCATCGAGGCGGGTACTCCAAGCCCCTTCTCAGATCCAAAGGTCTTGGCATCGCTTTGGAGAGAGCTTGAGGCCAAGCTTAGCTCCGAGAATGACGACATCTGCTCTCAGCTCCGCGACAAGCGTTCGCTCATCATTTGCTACGATGGAGACTCTGCTCGCGTTGCCACCAGTGTTCTGCGAGCCAAGGGGTACGCTGCAGACAGTATGAACGGCGGGATTCGGGCTATGCGTGAGGTGGGCTTGCAGTTGGAGGATCCCTGCGGGCAGCCGCTCTCTCAAGGTTACCAGGGGCAGTCCGTGAGCTCTGTTACCCACTAGTCAGGGTGAGTTGGGAGAGCTATGCGAGCGACTAATGTTACGTTGGGAGCATTTTAGTGAATAATCATGCATCAAGACTGGGTAGCTCTTTTGTCACTAGTGCTGTGCCCCTTCCGACTGATGTAAATGTGTTTCTTTTGGTTACCGACGATGGAGCCGTGCTCGGATGATATGACCAGATCGAAACCTGAGTAGACTCCTATTTCCATGTTAGCGTCTAAGGGACCACGGCGATCGACACGGCCGATTCGCGTCGCAAAGCGAGGGCACTGAGGGGAGTGGGAAATGTTTGTAAGGAGTGAAGTTGGTGGGCACCGGTCAAAAGGGTTCTCGAATAACATTCGAACGCTAAGCGTTTCCAAGACATGCCAATAATGGATGCTTACGATTAAGCATAGGATGTGGGGATGCGCCGTTTTTGTGGAATATCCTGGGGGAGTGGTGGGGGTGTGAGTTGCGTGTACAACGGCCAATGGCCCAAGTCTGTTGAATCTTATCACTGTGAGTGAAATGCATCTTATCAATCAATGAATCTGATTACACATTGTCCACACGATCTACCTGGGATCATCAAGGCGCTCGTAGTGCTGTGGTGCGGCCATTGAATGTGCAAGTTCAAGATACTTGCTTGTACATCGGCTGCAAGTAACGTCGCAGTCGCCGGCCATCCGGGTAGCGTAGCACCCTGGTCCAACAGAGCCTTCCAGCTCGGCCGAAGAAATTTGCCTCGGTGGCCGAGCTTTCGTCTAAGACGATGAGGACGCAGCTCTACCACCTCAACACCCTGCCACAGGAGCTGATCCGGCGCCTTCCTAATTAGACAATCACATTATAGTTCATGGTTCATCTGATAGAAAATTTGCAAGGAGAGAACTCGTTCCAAAAGATTCTTCTATCCACACACCATGGTGACAATTCAGGAGGACGAGCAGGCATGTTGACAACGGCTGGTCGACGCCCAAAGAACATGGGATGTGTGATGAACTGCTCTGCCCATTTCAACAGATTTGCCCCAATACCCACTGGGTACTCAGACAAGAAGCGCTTATATGAAGAACGTCATGTAGTCTAGCTCTCCGGGTACTCACGGTCCATTTATTCAATTCACCTTCACCCTATTGCTTATCCTGTTTGTTGATTCGCATCTTCGCCATGGCAGCCCATGCCACAGAGAAGACAGACCCTACCCTGCCGACGCAGGTCTCTCCGGCGGAGGATGACTTACATGTCCAGCCCAGGGCCGCCCCTATTGACGGCGAGGCCGCCGCCGAGATCCCCGGATATGACCACCAGCGCATGAAGGATCGCAGTCTCCTGTCTTATGAAGAGGAAAAGAAGTTGTTGCGCCGCGTCGATTGGCACCTCATGGTGCTATGCGCCCTCATTTTCATGGTCAAAAATGTCGATGCAAACAATGTGAGTCTAAGAAATCAATGGTTTCGATTCGATCAGTGTTATTGAAAAGTAGAGGCTGATTCGGCTTAGGCTGCGCACGCGCGCATCATGAATCGTGGAACACCCCGAAACATCCTCACAGAACTGAAGATGACTGGCGACGACTACAACTTCGTCAGCACATTGTATTATGTACGTCATCACAAGAGCTGTTGGTTCTCATGATCCTGATCTAACTCATGCACTAGATACCGTTCATCATTTTCGAGATCCCATCCAACCTGATTATGAAGAAGATGCTCCCATCGAGGTTCCAGGCGCGAATCATGGTAGTTACTGCGGCTCCTTTGAAAACCAACGAGCTAAATCAGTTTGTGTAGGTAACTTGGGGCATCACTCTGGCATGCCATGCCGCGGTCAAATCAAAGGAGGGACTCTGGGTCGCTCGCTTCTTCCTAGGTCTCGTGAGTAGCTTCTCTGAGCTATACCTCTTGCGAAGCTAATTTTTTGGAGTGCGAAGCTGGAATGTTTCCTGGTATCATTCTGCAATTGACATACTGGTACCGTGCCGATGAGATGACCATTCGACTTTTGATTTTCTGTCAGTGACGGCCTCTATCACTGATAATTGTCCGACACCAACTGATGTGGCTTGTCAACAGACTCTTTCGAATTCTTCGCAAATGTCGTCAGTGCTGTACTGGCGTTCGCATTTGATGGCATTTCCGGGCGATATGGCTTGTCTGGTTGGCAGTGGTTAGTCACGGCCCCATCGCGGTTGCGACAATTGCAGAACTAACCCGAGTTTGTAGGTTCTTCTTGGTCGAGGGTGTAATTACCATTGCCTTCGGAGCGTCACTTTGGTGGATCTTCCCTGACTGTAAGTTAATTCGTTTTCGTTCCCAACAGAGACAACAAGAACAAAGGCTAACGAAGGACCTATGGTTAGTTCCCGAGCAAGCTTCATGGCTTACCGATACCGAAAAGAGGTTCCTGCAGGCTCGTCTTCCTGCAAACTCTCCCCGATCAAGTGAAGCTCACTTCAACATTCGCGAGATCTTGGAAAGTTTGAAGGACCAGAGACTCTGGTGGTTCACACTGGTCTGGGCAACGAAGACTGTTGGAGGCTCGGGTCTTTCCTTCTACCTGCCCACCATCGTTGCTGACCTGGGACTTGCGTAAGTTATCTCCCTTCATCCTATCCAAAGGCAGAGAAATCACAGAAAACTGACATCACCCACAGCTCGATTGCCGAAAGCCAGCTTCTCACGATCCCCTCTGCTGTTTCGCCTATCTTCTGCATCGTCCTCAGCAGCTGGTTGACGGATCGGAAGGGTGTGCCATATCCTGTCGTAGCACTCTTTCACCTGATTGCCACACTGGCGTGCTATGCTGTCATGTACACATATCCGAACAACGGAGGTGTTTACGCTGCGACGGTCATCGCTGCTTCTGCCTCGAATGCTTGGTTCTCGACCATGTGGCCTTGGCGTCTTCAGACTACCTCCAAGGCTACAGGATCAGCGTTTGCCATTGCCTTCTCCAACTCACTCGGTCAAATCGGAACGCTCATCGGACCTCAGCTATTCCGATCTGCCTACGCACCCAAGTACTCAACTCCGTTTGGTGTCGCAATGGGAATGAGTGGACTTTGCATTGTGGCGACTGCCTGGACATGGTGGATTACCAGGGAGACAGAGAGGCAGACCAGGCATCTGAAGAAGATGAAGATTGCTGCTGGCAAGAGAAATGAAGTGGTCTATGACGATGTCAACATCGACGCCGACTTCAAGACCAAGTCGAAGGCATAGGCAGCCAATACTTTGATGTCTGCTCACTAAGTCTTTGGTAGCCGATGAACAGACACCGGCGTGTGGTCTGTCTGCGAAAGGCCCCATCGCATTCGAGTCATCACCTTCAGTCCACATCCTTATCCTACCTTAGAGTAATTTGAGAGCTTTCAGATGTGGATGCCGGTTATGGCTCCTACATGGATACTTTGAGGATTCATCATTCGCATTCTGTTACTGCCCGTAGTTATGCGCATGTTTTTCAGCCAGTGACTAGATTTGCCCTCAAGTTAACAGTCAAGACCAGCATGAACCTTCGCCTTGGGGTTGGACAACGCCACCCACATGCCATCGTGGCTATTTGCGACGAGCAGCATTGGTGAGGTTTGTCGAATGATCAATCTTATCATGTTAGAGTCTGTGCAACCAACATTTCACACATAAAGTACTGTCTATAAGCAACCAGCGTTCTCAATCTCCCAATAAGCGACTCCTTGACTCCATCTCTGCTGCCAAAAAAATCAAAATCCTATCGCTTAACTGCCACGAATGTTAAACATCGACATGACATCGGTGACAGACGAAACATCTGGCGTCGGACTCTTTTATCCAAGACTTCCACGTGGTATGGAGTTTTCACCTCATCACAGATCTTCCGTCCCAACCAATATCCCTATTGTGTGAACGTCTAAGGTTCGTCTGGGGCGCAGACAAACCTAGCTACGACCGCCTCTGATTCACAGTCGGCTTCAACCACAACATAACTATTCGCGGCCATCCATACTATTATTCAAATGAACGAACGGAGCAGGGTGCGGGTGAGAGGTGGTGAAGTTTCCATAAGGTAGGGCTAAGATGCATAAGGTATCGTGACGTGTCAACCGGGGCTGTTCTTTGCTTGAATGGTCTCCTCGCCCCCACTAGCTTTGAGCCCTTTCTTCGGTTCGAAATCACTGACGCACGTGGCCTAAGTCAACACAGGAAACTGCTGTCATGGAGTTGCTATCGTGGTAGCGAACCTGCATGCGTACGCTACTCGGGGTATTTAACCGATTCCGCGTGGTGCGGGAAGTGACGATGACACCAGCAGGCCGCATCTTCCAACCCTACCCTGACCAGTGAAAATCGTGCCCTTATAGGTGGAATCGTGATGTTTGACACGCTCATGAAGCTGCGTAAGGACCATGCCTACCGGTGGATTGGAAGCGAGATCGTAATTTCCCGAGTGTCACCCTCCGGCTGAATGCCTGCTCGTCTGGCCTAGACCACTTCCCACTTGCGTCATCGATCATGATGACCAACTTGGCCTCGTGTGTTCAGTCATGTGCGCGTTGGCTGGGAATTCACTATCTGAATAATAACTTTGTGATGCTTTGAGGTCTATGTGTCTGCTACGCTGTTACAGCATAAACCCGCAGATGCTCCGTTACGCCCGCCACATCCTCCACATAGAATTTTCGTTGATTTCCATGTCACTGTTACACTTCGTCTGCTTTTGATGGATTTTACACTTAGGACGTGATGTCGTTCGCTATTGATGCCCATTGGAAACCAGCATAAACAAGACAAGACTTGCGTACGGGTGTTGAGTAAGAAAGGTTCCACTTTAAACACAAAGCTACGGACACCCGATATGGCGAGCTGCAGATAACGTTTTAACAGAAGCCAGCTACTATTCAAGACTGTCGCAAAATTGAGAGGCTTTATTCTCGCCGCGGGATGAAGAAATTTTGGAAATCGTTTTTTGAGACTGACAATTCACCGCAGACTAGAAGCTATCACATTGTTCCGGATCCTCGCGTTTGATTCCGGAAT